GAGGGGACATCTGTAATACTTTCAACAATAAAGATAATTTAAAAAAAAAGTAATATATTTATTTTCTAGGATGGTTTTATGTTTACAGAAAATTGAGCAGATACCATAGAATTCCCATATACTACCACTTTCCCTCACAGTTTCCCTTATTATTAACATCTTGCATTAATTACTATGCTACATTTGTTAAAATTAAGAAACCATATGTATACATTATTATAAACTAAAGTTCATAGTTTACATTAAGGTTCAACCTTGTGTGGTACAGTACTATAGGTTTTGACAAATGTATGATGTCATGCATATATATAGTATCATGCCGAGTAGTTTCACCACCCTGCAGATTCCTTGTGCAGCACCTATTCAACCCTCCCCCTGAAGCCCCGGTAACCACTGATATTTTTACTCTCTCTAGTTTTACCTTTTCAGAATGTTATGTAATTGGATTCCTGCAGTATGTAGTCTTTTCAGAAAAGATTATAATTTATGGTAAAATTTAGAAGCACCTGCATTAACAAAAGTTATAAGACAGAGATGCCCCTATTACTACTGTTCAACCTGGACTTGAAGTAATATCTAATAAAAAAGACTAAGGAAAAGTAAGATGTAAGAGGCTAGTCAAAAAAGACAATTTCTCATTATTTGGAGATAGTATTGTCTTTATCAGTCAAGCAAGAGAATCTACAGATAAGCCATTAAAGAAATTAAATAATTTTGCTGGATACCAGATCAACATGAGAATAAATTATTTCCATATGCCAGTAACAATGTACAAAACATATTTGGGATCCTAGAACTATTAAAAAGCAGAATCTTTAGAATTACTTTTCCAGGACAGGAAAATTATATTAAAAATATATAAGAAGAAAAGAATGGAAACGAGTTATTTTTTTGGACCCCACCCCCCAAACCCACCAATTATAGTTAAACCATTTGCTAACCTAGTCATTAAAAAAAAGAGGAGGGGGCATGATGATTGTTCCCCATTCTGTTTGTTTTGTATCCAACAAACATCTGCCCACGTATAACTATTTCCTAGATCCCCCAAAATGGGCTAGAGCCATCATAAAGTAAAGTTCAGAATGGTGAGGTTGCCATAAACTGGCATAGGCGTTAGGGCCAAAACCCATTAAACAAAAGAAACTTAGTAATTACTCTAATTTGGGAGAAAAGAGGTACAGTGTTAGGTTGCTGGGGAAAGGAAGTATTTTTAGAGAAAAGTGTTGGAGCTGAGGTTTGAAGCAACAACTAGGGGGGATGGAACTGCTTTAGAGTGACCTATATACAGAAAACAACCTAAGCAGCAATCTGGATGTCTAAAAGTACATTTTAAAAATTAACTTTATTGGGATGACATTGGTTAATAAATTATATAAGTTTCATGTGTACAATTCTATAATACATCATCTATATATTACATTGTGCGCTCACCACCCAAAGTCAAATATCCTGTATTTCAAGCAGCATTTCTTTGCTGCTTTGTGATCTTCCTTCCAAATGTTTTAGTCCACCATTGATAGAAAATTCTGCAAAGCAGCTTGCATCAAAAGAGCCTCTGTTATCCATCCTTGGTGATTCTTGTAGGTTGTGCAGTGTGCACACAGCTGCCATCAGAATATCTTCTCACGGTCCTCGCCAGGTGGGAAGGGACTGCGGAGCAGTTCACTCCTGGAACAGGCGTCTCCGGGCCTTGCGCGCAGGACCCGGAGGGCGCTGGGGGCGCTCGTGAGGACCTGGACTGGGAGAGGGGGGTAGGGGCTGGAGTGGCGAGTTGGGGAAAGGCTCCAGAAGGTGGGAGTCCAGGTTGAAATAGGGACCAGGAGAGCGTCTCTCTGGACTAGGGGTGGGGGCCTGAGGCGAGGGCTCCGCGAGGGGGCTGTGCGGGTACCAGCCGAAGCCCCTTCCAGGGACCGAGCCGGCTGCAGCGTCCATCCAAGGGGTCAGGAACTCGGGGTCCGCTTCCTCGCCGTAGGTCTCTTCTTGGGCGGCGATCTCTGGAGCACGTGGGTAGAGGAACCCCTGCTGGACGGCGAGGTCTTCCCCGGGAGCGCCCAGGAGAGCGCGGGGTTCCAGGCCGACAGGCGAGTGCGCCTGCCCTCCGCAGCGGTCGTCGCCGGAGCCCCAGAGGGCCTGGGGGACCAGCGTGAGGGTGTGCGCTCCGAGAGACACTTGCAGGACCGACGTCGGCTCGGGCTGCAGCACCAAGTCGACGCCGTCCAGGTGCAGCTGCAGGGCACAGCCCGGGGCCAGGACCACCACGGAGGTGAGCGCGGCCGCCGCCCGGGGCCCCGC